ATTTCACTATAATACTTTACTTTGTCTTCTTGAGCCACCCTTTGAAATCTTCTGTTCAGCTCTTTTATTTAATCATTTCTTCCATTTGCTTGAGCTACTCTCCATTCAAGAGCAAGTTTCAGAGTCTCTTCTGACATACATCTTCGTCTTTTCTTCCTTTCCTGTTTTTTTTTTTATTTTATTTTTATTTTTGCAGTGTTCCTTTCCTGTCTTTTTAAGGTCCGTTTGCTTTCTTCATGTGTGATACTCTTGATGTCATCCTACAACTCGTCTGGTCTTCGGTCATTGGTGCTCAACGCATAAATCTATTGTTCCGTTGGTCTCTAAATTCAGGTGGGATATAATCAATATCATATGTTGGCATTTGTGTACTGACCAGTAGGCTGGCAGTTCAAACCCACCAGCCACTCCTTGGAAGGAAGTTTGGGCAATCTACTTCCACAGTCATACCACCTTGGAAACCCAAGGAGGGGTTGCTATGAGTTGGATCCGCCTCAACGGCAGTGAGTTTTGTTTTGTTTTTTTATCATTAGTATTACACTCAAGGTAAAATTTTTTGCTGAAGATCATTGAAAAATACTTGTAGCAATACCCGGATGAGGAACTACAAGAAATTCAAGCAGGATTCAGAAGAAGAATGGAACAAGGGATTTGCTGATGTCAAATGGATCTTGGATGAAAGCAGTGAAGACCAAAAAAGATGTTTACCTGTGTTTTATTGACTATGCAAAGGCATTCGACTGTGTGGATTGTAACAAATCATGGACACCATTGAGAAGAATGGGAATTCCAGACACTTAATTGTACTCATGAGGAACCTGTACACAGACAAAGAGGCTGTCATTCAAATAGAACAAGGGAATACTGCATGGTTTAAAATCAAGAAAGGTGTGTGTCAGGGCTGTATCCTTTCACCATACGTATTTAATCTGTATGATGAGCAAATAATCCTGGATTATATGAAGAAGAACACGACATCAGGAGTGCAGGAAGACTCGTTAACAAAATGTGAGATGCAGATGACACAACCTTGCTTGCTGTAAGTGAAAAAGACTTGAAGTACTTCTTGATGATCAAAAACTATAGCCTCCAGTATGGATACACCTCAACAGAACCAATCATTGTCCACTCGTGCCCCATCCTCACGGTCCCTGCTGTGCTTGAACTCACTGTTGCAGCCACGGTGTGAAGCCACCTCACTGAGGGTATTCCCCTTTCTCACTGACCCTCCACTTCACCAAGCAAGACAGCCCTCTCCAAGTGAGTCACAGCTATGGACAAGATTGGGCTTGCAACGTAGAGGTCATGGGTTCAAGCCAGCTAGGAAAAGAAGTAAAGTTGGGAGTAAGGGGTAGGAACTGAGAGACGGGGAGAAAATGAAGGGTCACAGGACTAAAGTGGTTCTGCAATCCACTCATTGGTTTCTATTCTACTTCCTATCCACCTCAGATGGACATGGCAACAGACACAGCCCTTCCCTTGATGAGCAGGGTCTTGGTGACCATACCTATTCTTAAAGGGGCTCCATTCCTTTTATTTTTTACACTCATTTCCATAAAGCCATTGCCTCCGGTGTCACTTACCGACTTGTCCCGGGAGACCTTCTTGAAGATGACATTTTGTGTAGACTTACTTGTCTTCCCACTGGCTGCCATGTTTTCTGTCTCTAGCAGCTTCTTTCAGTTTGGGACACCCAACAGGTATTAAGGGTGCTGGGAAAACGTCACAAGATCCTAAATATAAAGTCAAGAACATTCTGGATGTAAAATCCAGTCGTCAGACGCTGTACGTCCGTCGAGCACTCCCTTCTCCCTGCCACAACTCCCGTGTTGGACTAACAAGGCCTTGTTTAGTTTGTATTTTACCGTGACCTACTTTTTAAAAATAGATGCTCTCATTTTCTGGGTAAGCCTGAACGCTTTCTTTGTCAACCTCCTTAAGAAGTCAGCTCGATTCACATGAGAAGATTTTACTTTCTGCCCAACCTGCGATAAATTCCACTCGCTGTTCTCTTTTTGCTGTGCAGCTGGCTCCAACTCGTGGCAGTCCCGTGCATAACAGAGGAAAATGCTCTTCGGTGCTGCGCCAGCCCTGTGATCGGTTGCGGATCCAACCGCTGTGGTCCACAGGGTTTTCCCTGGCTAACTTTTGGAAGTAGGTCACCAGAGCTTTCTTCCTCGCCTTTCTTAGTCTAGACGCTCTGCTGGGACCTGTTCAATACCATGGCCCCACACAAGCCTCTACTGACAGATGGGGGGTGGGTGTGCGTGAGGTGCGTTGGCTGGGAATCAAACCCAGATCTCCCCCATGGAAAGCAAGAATTCTACCACTGAACCACACTGTCCTCAATGTCACACCTCCCCAGGTGGAATTTCAAATTCTATCATTGCAGTGTCTTGTGGCACACAGAAAAAGCTCCCCAAACGTTCTGTGTGGCTGTTCCCCTAAGCCATTCTTTCCCATTCTTGATGGCTCTCTCATCACAACCCAGTTCCACAGACAGCCGTGGGGCTATCTTAGCGGTTGGGACTTAAGTCACTCAGTTTCCTTACCAAGCAAAGTCTCTGAGACAGAGAAAGCGACACTGGAACCGACTGAACTCCATGAAAAAGCCCACTCAACTGTCCACTCACTTTTTCGTTTTTTCAGTAGACTTTCTAGGTCAGTTTTAGGTTCTCACACACACACACACACACACACACACAGGGCAGGAAGTGCAGGGGTCCCCGAGAGCCTCTGTCCATCCCCCCTCCACCCACCCACCCACCCAGACTCCCCTATAGTTATCCTGCATTCCTATGGTACACTTGTTGGAACTGATGAACAACTATTGATACTTTATTATTAATGAACGTCCCAGGCTGGTAAGGCTAAGCTACTAATCAAAAGGTTGCAGGTTCGAGTTTACCCAGAGGCATCTGAAAGAAAGGCCTAGTGATCTACTTCCCCAAAACTCAGTCACTGAAGACCCTGGGGGGGCGCGGTTCTGCACTGACACACGTGGGGTTACTGTGGGCTGGAGTCCACAGCATAGCAGCTGGTTCCTTACTAGCCAAAAAAGCAGCTGCCTTTGAGTCTGCAGCTCAGAGTGGAACCGTGCTCCGCGGAGTCAGCAATGGCTGTGACCGGTCAGGGGTGATCACCAGGCCTTTCCTCCGAGGTGCCTCTGGGTGCTCCCGGCCCCCACCCATTGTTAGCAGCCGAATGTCTTACTGTTCACGCCACCCAGGGACTGTCGTGACCCCACCCGGGCGTCTGAGCGGCCTGGGCTGGCTGCCACGTACCTTGTGATTTCTGCGTGCGCGCAGACGGGCCAGGTGGCGAGGGCAGGTCCTCGTGGATCCGAGGAGCAGCAGCCGGCAGCCACCCCGAAGGAGCCGGGCTGTCTACTGGTGGCCCCCAGGCCGGCTCGAGCCGACGCGTGTGGAGCTGGATTCGTCGGCGGTCCCAGCGGAGGCCAGCCACCCAACTCCCAACGCCCAGAAGCCCAAAGCCACTGACGGAGCAGGATGGCAATTGGATTAGCGCTGAGGTGGGGGACTGGCTGTCTCAGCAGTTCTCGGCATTAGGCAGCACCCCTCTGCTCACAGGGGGTCTGCACAGACGCACCAGCCGTCACACCAGCTTGGGGAAGGCGAGGCGGAAGGCACAGCAGGGCAACGAAAGCTCCTTTCGACCCTAAACCTCTTTGGGTTCTGGAAATAGACTGATTATCCCTTCCTTCAAGGGCGCACTGGAAGGGGATTTTCAAGGGCTAAACAAACTTGATTAACTGCAGCAGACAGCTAATGTGACCTTGAGGCTGGGATGTAACAAAGGTCGGGGAAATGCCCACCTCGAGACGAGTCCCGGCCATCTGTCCGTCTGTCTGGGAAGGCCCCTGCCCTCCACCCCAGCCAACCCCCAGGACTCCCATGCCCTTCTTCCCCGCGACTCCACAATCGGCCCGTGTCTCCCCGCTCCACCCTGGTTTGTCCTGTCCTCATCCCTGCCTCCCTCTTTCTCTATTTTGGAGGGCGAGGGGAGAATGTATTTTTTTTACATGATCACCTCTGTGCTGTTCAAGTTTTATTATCCTACGCATGCACCGGGGTCTCTGGATGGAACAACAGCATTTGCCAATTCTTTTTCACGTGTCCGATTCAATGACATTAATCCCATTCATCATGCTGTGTGGGTCCGACTCGACAGAACACAACAACAACAACAACAGACTCTCAGTGCCTCTTAGGCAGTAACCCTGCACCTCCCACCCGCCCTGGTCACCAGGATGCACTCTGCTCTCCACGCATCTGTTGGTCCCACACATTTCACAGACGTGGGACTACATCTGACCTGTGCTTGGGTGACACTTCGTTCAACATGTGTTTCCACGGCTCATCCGTGTTGTATTAGAGCCTCGTTTTTCTTCACGGCTGAACAATTATCCACTGTGTGGACAGATGTTTTGTTTACCCACCAACGTCTGCTGATGGACACTGGGCTGTGTTCCCACCTGCTGGCTACTGTGACTAGTGCTGCTGTGAACCTTGGTGCACACGTATCTGTCTGTGTCCTCACTTTCAAGTGTCTGACGTGTACACTTGGAGTTAAAGTGCTAGGTCTTATTGTAATTGTAAATGTAACTCTTTGAGGAAACACCAAACTTTTTCACAGTGGCTGCACCATTTTATAATCCCACCAGCCAATGGATATGAGTTCCAATTGCTGCACACCCTCGTCAACACTTACTGTTTTCTATTTTTCTGATGCTAGCTGTCCTAGTGAAGTGGTAAGGAGCTCGGATGGTGTCGTGGTTAAGGCAACTTGCTGCTAACCAAAAGGTCACTGGTTCAGACCCACCAGACTCCACAGAAGAAAGATGAGGCAGTCTGCTTCCATAAAGATTGACAGCCTTGGAAGCCCCGTGGGGCAGTTCCACTCTGTCCTCTAGGCATGCTGTGAGTCGGAATCTACTCCATGGCAGTGGGTGTGGTTTGGTTTTTTGAGTGCAGTGGTATCTGCTGTGGCTTTCCTCGGCATTTCCCCAACGACTAATGGCGTTGAGTATATTTTCATGTGCTTATTGGCCACGGGCATACCTCCTTTGGTGAAGCATCTGTTCAAGCCCTTTGCTTGTTTTTGGATTGGCTGTACGTCTTTCTATTGTTGAGATGCAGTGGTCCTTAAGTCCGTGTCGCCACTATAGCTTCCCTGAACCATAACATCCCACTGCCTCATCAGACCCACCACTCACCTTCCAGGCTGGTCCCCGTTACAGCAGGGGACCTGCCAAGCCCAGATCCATCACTCCTGGTTACAGCTCCCGTCACCTTGGGGACCTGCCTGAGCCCCTGCCCCACTTCCCACACTGAGGGGCACTGCACTCCCTTTGCCCCTGCCCCTTGCCTAGATAATCCACTCCCTCATTCACCTCCTTGACTCTGCCCTCAGACTTCAGATCGGGAATCAGTTCTTCAGGGGAGCCTCCCAGCTGAGCTGAGAGGCACAGTGGTGTGGGACTGTGGCGCAGAAAAGTGTTCTACGGCCTCTTTAAAGTGCTGAAGATCAAAGACATCTCTTTGAAGACAAGGGTGCACCTGGAACAAGCCATGGTATTTTCAGTAGCCTCCTATGCATGTGAGAGCTGGACAATGAATAAGGAAGATTGAAGAAGAGTTGATGCTTTTGAGTTGTGGTGGCGGAGAATGCTGAAAGTACCGTGGACTGCTAAAAGAACTAACAGATCTGTCCTGGAAGAAGTGCAGCCAGAATGCTCCTTGGAAGAAAGGATGGCCAGACTTTGTCTCACCTACTTTGGTCATGTTGTCAGAAGGGACCATTTCCTGGAGAAGGATGTCATGGTTGGTGGGGTGGAGGGTCGACGAAGGAGGGGGAGGCCCTCAACCAGATGGACTGCCATGGTGGCTGCAAGGACGGGCTCAGGTATGTCAGGGATCGTGGGGCTGGCGCGGGATTGGGGAGTGTTGCGTTCTGTTGTGCACGGGCTCGCTATGAGTTAGAGCCGACTCGACGCCACCTCACGCCACCACCAATCTGAGTCACCTGACGCTGCTGCAACAGAAATACCCCAGGTGGTTTCAATGCCCAGAACTGTGTTTTCTTGGTTTACGGCCACAAGTCGGAATTCAAGGCCCCGGCTCTGGGGGATGCACTCTGCCTGTCGGCTCCGGGGGGAGGTGCTTCTCCTTCAGCCTCTGCTTCTCAGGACCCTGGTGGTCTCCATGGGGCCCCAGTCTGGCTGTGCGTCCCTGTGGGTCTGAGCTGCTCTTCTCATCTCCAAGGTGACTGGCTGAAGACACCCCTACACTGCCCCCAAGTACACCAAACATGCAAACCCACAGTCACCCTGCAGGACAGGGTAAAACTGCCCCGTAGGGTTTCCAGGGCTGCCCACCTTTACAGACGCAGACTGCCACATCTTTCCCTTACGGAGTGGCTGGGGGGTTCGAACTGCTGACCTTTGGGTTAGCAACTGAGTGCTTTAGCCCACTGCACTATCATGGCTCCTGTCTGCAAGTCTGAGGGTCAGGAATTACAATACATATTTTTGGGGGGACACAATTCAACCTGTTAACAGTCTCCCCCCTACTCAACCCCAGGCTCCACGCAGGCTGGTGGCTGTCATTGTTTCCCTCGCCTTGGAACCCTTTGT